TGATAAGGCGGGCAGCGCCCTTGGCAGGAGAACGCAGATTAAGCAGTTATGGTTTGTGAACAATTTAAAATGCGCAATAAATAATTCCCGATGAGATTGGTAGGTACTACTTAACAGGAATTAGCGAAAGTTGATGTCTGCCTGCTAGTTTGACTGGAGTCTACCAGTCATGTGTACAGTTGGTGTGATTGAAGCGGCCTTTTCCGAAAGCAATTTGTCAAATAATCATGTTATAAAGTACACCGCCAAGGTAACTACGGACCAAAGCAGGATTGGGTACTTAAAAAAAGGCCAAGGCACGATCATCGGGACAGCGATCGTGCTTTCGGCTTCTTTTAAACAAGAACTTGGGATGCGCATATTCTCTTCCCTTCGGGATTGGGTACTGTTTTAGCAATTATTTAGGTATAAAGATAATCCAAGTCATAGCGGTGTCCAGCCGCCGCTTAAAATTTTTGTCGGCAACTTAGGCTTCTCCCGCTGTCCACCGAAGCCATACAACCTTGCGTTTGCTTCGCGAGGCGTGCACGGAGATGCCAGTTTTCATATTCGGGTAACATGGCAAATTATTTCTACACCTAGCAGGTCTGCGTAACTGCTGTTTCACCAGGTATATTGTTACTGCGTTTAGGCAAGTATGCAGCACCTAACTGAACATTGCAACTACCACCGACACGGTAAGAAGTAATTTCCTGACCAACGATATTAAGCAAAACCGCAGAATGGGTAGTTTTTTATAAGGATGCCACGGGAGAAATTAGGTTATCCCCGGCAAATTCACGTGCAGCAGGCATTACCTGTCACAATATAGAAGCAGACTATTCCCTTCGGATGGGTATTGCCTTACTAATCCATAACCTCAGCAAAATGCCTATTGCAAACTCGAGCTGAATGTTAGATTTTTGTTGGCAGATCAGCGCGGCTGCCGGATCAACTAAGCATACCCTGCGACTGTATGTCATCAAATGACCCGGCATTTTTGCAGAATATATTTTCGAAACGTCGGGGGAACGAGAAAAGAGTGTCAAAACCAATTCTGGAAGGCGCTGCGGCATAGTCGTACAGATATTACTACCGAAACTGTGAAAAAATACACTGAGAATCAACTGGAAAGCATACTCATAAAGAAAGAGTACCTTAAGCGTAACGTGTGTCAATGCGCAGCCGTCCGCGAAACACTGGCATAGGATGAAAGACAAAAATTAGGCAGCTAGACGCAGTCGATGGGAAGAAAACGCAGAGAGGCATAGATTTCTGCGCTTCTTTAAGCTGTGCATAACACGAAACCAAAATTACGGTCTCCAAAATATCCTTGTCGGTACGTCGACAACCACTCTTATATGACACTTGATAATACAGCATTTAAAGTATGATCACTTGGACCTTACTGTTGCAGGCCTCATCGAAAATTTAATCAGTTGGATTTAGAAACCTAGTTGGAGAACCTCGGAAACCAAACCAACGATCTTGCGCTAACGTCAACAAACAGCATCTAACATTCTAAATCGACACTGGTAAATTGCAGATGTCAATACCTGAACAAGACGCCCAAAATCGGGGATATCTGACAAAAGCATATGTTCCGCAAATATTCCCATGTTACAATTGAAAAGTCAAGTTGGCGAACGCATGTTTTCGGTAATTCTTCCTCAGTCCAATACAATTACTTGAACGAATGAAAATGTACAAAATCAACAGTGTTTATAGATGCCTTAAGGGCTATTAAGTCACTAACACTCATCATCCCCACGCCGCCCGCATTATAAGGTCGGCGGATGTTAGTCGTCAGAGCTAAAAGAGGGGGGTAAGAGAATCTTTGAGTAATGATCTTGGGTTTAGAACACGGAGTACCCATCATCGTGATTAGGGATTTGAGGCGGCATGGCTTCATCACTTGTGGTTGGCGTTGGCCACGGCAGCGAAAGCGCTTGTGTCAGAGTTTTCTGACAGCATAACACCGAATTCCCTAACCGTATAGCTACTGCCTCGGCCGTTGCTAGTATCCATTGGCGTAGGCCTTTAGAGAAGCATGTTCGTGTCCGGTAGAAAACCTGACATGCTTTCTTGGCATCTACTCGGTGGTTCGTATCGATTAAATGCGCGAGAATAGAACTCGAAATCGACCGGGTCTCACCTCTGTCTAGCCAGGCGGGCATATGTTCACGCACCCTCTTTACCAGGCGTCTCGTTGTGCGGCCGATGTATCCTGCTCCACAGGAGCAAGTGAATGAATAAATGCACATGGATGTGGCCTCCAACGGTAGTCTGTCTTTACCTCCCAAACGTAGGAGGGGGAGAGTTTGTGAAGCATACGCGTAAATTCGCCGCAGGGATTGCCCTCGTAATAGCTGTAGTTAAGCGCCGTCGGACTAGTTCGCTCTCTGCGTCTCCTCTAAAAGGCAATCTTATGAATACATCTTTCTTTTCCGCAGTCGCAACAGTGGGTTTTTCAACACGTTCCCCAATATTTCGGAGGATAAATCTATCTGGGTATCCGTTCTCACGAAGTGTGTTCCGCAGCTGTTGAAGGTCTTCAATAGCTTCAGGTGAGCAGATGCGTCTCACTCTAGCCGCCAATCCCTGGACTAAATTCCGTCTGATGTTTAGGGGAACAAAACTGTGGAAATTAACGTATTGTCACGTCCAGATTTTCTTTCGGAACACCCTGCGCTGGATAGACCCATCCTCTTGCCTGTGCAGAAGGACATCGAGAAAGGCAAGTTCGTTATCTGTCTCGGTTTCTGCAGTGAACTTTAGCGAGGGGTGCGCACTGTTGAACTTTTGGACAAGCCCCTCGGTATCAGTGGTACCATCCGTCAGGCAGAAGATATCGTCCACGTACCGACGGTAGAAGACGAGGCCATTAATGGTCTCTTGCAAGCTTGTTTTCTCCACTTTGCCCATAAAAACATTTGCAAGGAGTAAAGTCTCGAACATTTCCATTGAACATTTCAGAAGAGCATTTGGCAAGCATACACGTGCTTTAGATAAATTCGGATCGGGCCAGTACGTGAACGAGGTACAAACTGAAACGTGTGAGCGATTATAACAATCGATTACGGTTTGTCTTTTCATGCAAGCGGGGTTTGGGAATGCTATGACCCGCCTGGTACTTGAAATCCTGTGGAGCGTACACGCACTTGACCCTTGTTCTCAGTACCAGCGCGGCAGAGAATCAGAACGCGACCGGCCACGAAAATGTGTATTAGGAAATTACAAGCCAAAATTAACTGGATGTAACGCATATTTATAACGCCCTATTGTGCTTCGCATCCTTCGGTCCAATGCCCTTCACGAAGAATATTCCAGACGAGCCGGTCGATAATTCGAATATGCAGATCGATTAGGCCCGAGGGGAAAAGCCAATGAAGAGGCGCCACGAGTAAATGGCAGCGCAGTAGAGAAAATTCACGTGGCCTCCAGTGATTGGCTGGCACTCGCAACACCTCCCCTCCAAGCAGGTCAGTACCACTTCTGGCGTAAATTGACCTGCATCGGCCGTGTTAATCGGCGTACGCGGTTGGTCCGGCGTCTTATTCGTGGTTTATTGCGTGGAGACACGGGAGCAGTGACTGATACCGAAGGTGTTATATCCGAAGGGGGCGCAGCAGTGGTTTCGGGAACCGACCGATCTGCCGGAAAGGTTAAGATATCCAGTACGATGTCAAGGGGGTGTGACGGCGACGACTCGAGCCCAGTTCTGTTACTGCAATGTTGCCGTCTGATCTGGTCGTGGTGGCGAACCCAGATGTCATCACCAACGTCGACGTCAAACAACATACTGCCTCTGTGCGCTACTACAATTGCTTCAATCCAGCCTGGGAACCCGGCTTGATAATCACGAACGAAGACAGGTGTTCAGATGGAGAGCTTGCTGCGAGCGCCTGAAGGAGTCTGCGTGGGCTGCGCACCGGCAGGGACGAGGGCATGAAACGTTGTACGCAGTTTTCGGCCCATCAACTCTTCGGCAGGAGAGACGCCACCAGGGGACGCCGAGATTGATGTTGCCATGATTACCAGCTTAAAAGGGAACTGTGCCACACAAATCAACGCTCCTCCTTTTTCTAACAGAGGGTCATTCGCCAATACAACTCTTTGCCGGAGTTTGTTGTTAATTCCCCTACCGTGAACTTGTTCAAGAGACAACTGGATTCGCACCTGCTGAAAGGCCACCCGAATTGCCGCAGCCTGATCTAACGGATAACTGAAATGTCTATAATATACTACTAACAGGATTTCAACAGATCCTATTGTGTACTTCAAACTTAGCCCATTTTGACATTTTCACAGTCCGAATGCGGTGAACAAAGTTTTTCGCAATTATTTCGCGAATATATTACCCCTTTTGCCTTTATGTTACATTATTAGATTTATGAATCCTCCTTACTAAAACTTCAAGCAAAAGCTTTGCAATTTAACTATTTTTTCTTATATCTGTACCATATTAATGGAGTTTTCAGGGCTGCTGTCGTTTACTCCAAATATACTGACTGACACTGACTGAAAATAGGAACGCCTGGACTATCTCGTCCGTGGTCCCCTCTCCACAAGCTTTCAAAAGGGCTCTCTTAAAAGTGTGGAACACTCTCTTAAAAGTGTGGGCTCGTGGCCCTATGGGTATAGGCGTGGACTTCTATATCAACAGGTCGCGAGTTCGAGGCTCGGGTGTTCCACACTTCGGGCTTGGGTATGGCTGGCTGAAGACGGCTAATATGCCAGAAATAGCCATTCCAGTCACCCGTGTCTTTGTCGGTAATACCATGCTGTCTTTTAAAAGTGTCGACAAAACGCTCCGCCTGACGGTTAGACTGAGGATGGTAGGGCGGCGAGCGAAGATGCTGGATGTTGTGCTGTCGGCAGAAATCCTCAAATGTCGACAAAGTAAACTAAGAGCCATTTTCTGAAACCAGGACTTCCGGTAAGCCATGTTGGTTAAAAATGCGTCGTAGGAAGGCGATAGTGGCAGATGCGGTCGTTTGATTCAGCGGAGCAATCTCGGGTCACTTCCAGTAGGTGTCAATCAAGATTAGGTGGGACACTCCGGTAAGTGGGCCATCGAAGTCGATATGCATGCCTGACCAAGGGCTCTCCAGTGGTTGCCAGGGTATTGGATGTTGACGGGGCAACATCTTGGCAGCTTGCTGACATCGAGAACAGCGTCGAAACAGGTCGTCGAGGTCACCGTCGATACCCAGCCAGTAAGCAAAACTTCGAGCAATTGACTTCATTCGCCTGGTACCAGGATAAGCGACATGGAACTGGCGTAGAACAGTGGGTGGGAGAGAAAATGGGATCACCACACGGTTCGCAAACATGAGGCAGGAGTCAACCACAGATAACGATGCTCGGCGGAGGAAAAGGTGGCGAAGTTCGCCAGCTAGAGCAGTGGTTGACCAGCGGGTCTGTACGTAGGTGATGGTCTGACGGAGGACAGGATCCTCTTCAGTAGCACGTCGGATGTCCGCGGCATTGACAGCGATACCTCGTATGGCGTCTGATAGCTGACAGCGCACGTCGTCCTCAATCGAAACAGAGACAATCACTGTGTCTTCTTCAGGTTCCGGATGATTGCTGATGAGGCGAGAAAGTGCGTCAGACTGACCAAAGTCTGCAGCGCGACAGTAGCGAATGTCGAAATCGTAGTCAAGAAGGATGGTTGCCAATCGCTAAAGTCGGCTGGCTGAATAGATGGGAATGCCCTTCTTCGAACCGAGGATTGACAGCCATGGTTTGTGATCCGTTAACAAAGTGAAGTGGAACTTCTTGACGGCAAATACGAGGGCTAGAGCCTCTTTCTCTATCTGCCAGCAGTTCTTCTGCGCAGAAGTTGCGTGCGAGATGCATGCATGATTGCCTTTTCAAACCCGTCAGGAAAAGTATGCGAAATGACGGCACCAAATACGATGTTGGATGTATCTGCAACAACAACGATCGACAGCGTCGGGTCGTAGTGCGTGAGCAGTAGATCTGAACTCAGCATTGATTTTAGCTGGGCGAAGGCCTTGTCGCAGTCTGGGGACCAGCACTAGGGAGCGTCCTTCTGTAGCAGACGGTTGAGCGGGGCCCATAGGTCATGCAGCGATGGTAGGAAGGCGCTATAGTGGCTGATCAGGCCAAGGAACGAACGAAGTTGTGATACATTCTTTGGGGGCAGGCATCCGTTGGATGGCCCGAATGTTTTCAGGATGTGGATGGCGACCAGTGACGTCAAAAATGAGTCCGAGGTACTTGATGAATTCGAGGAAGAATTGGCACTTGTCGGCCCGTAGGCGAAAGCCATACTCGGTCTTGCAGATCGGCAGGGGAGCGGCCCACGATAATGATGTCGTCCTCGTACGCAGCTGCGACAGGGATGCCGGAGAGAATTGCGTTCATCGTTTGTTGGAATATGGCCGGGGCGGTCTTGACAACAAAGGGCAGCCTGGTGTATTGGAACAGACCGCGGTGGGTGCTGATGGTCAAAACTTCGCGCGACTCTGGGGCGACCTCGATCTGCAGATACGCATCAGCGAGATCCAACTTGGCAAAACAAGTGCCAGCATTCAGCAGGGTCAAAAGATCAGCCGGAACCGGTAGTGGATAGCAGTTCGGCATCAGCGCGGCATTGAGACCGGTGGAGAAGTTAGCATAAATGCGGATCGAGCCATTGGGCTTCTTAACCACAACGATTGGAGCAGCCCAGGCGGAGTAAGATATAGGAATTAGACCTCCCAGTTCCTCTAGACGCTTCAGTTCAGCCTCGACAAGTGATAGGGCTGTATATGTGACTGGTCGCTTTGGACAGAAGATTGGTTGATTTCCAGGAGACAGATGTAGTACGGATTGAATGTATGTGCAACGACTCAGGCCGTCTCGAAACACTGCAGCAAACCGTAGGAGAATGTCATAGGCTTAATCTGCAAGCACAGCAGGAATCTGCACCTGACTTCAAACAACACGGAGTGGCATATCGGCTAACCCCAGTTGTTCAATCCAGTCGAGACCAAGTAGGTTGAGGACAGACTTGGTGATGTAGCAGATTGTAATGATGCTGGTACCGCGGAACTACACACAGCATTGCAGTTGCCTAATTAGCTGTACGAGATCACCGCTCGCGCTTGTGGCGGACTGGGGAGTCTGTTGCATCGTGGGGCTGCCAAGGGACTGCCAGAGTCTCTCAGATATGATGGTGCTATCGGAGGCAATGTCCAACTGAAGGCGAACTGCATGGCCATTGAGCAAGAGGTCAAAACATTTTCTACGACCAGATACATTGAGCTGGAAAGCAGCCAAGAGACTCGGTGTATTATTAACGGACTGGTGTTTGGGCTTGCGTTTTGGCCGGAAACGACGCCTGGAACCAGAAGTGGCGGGGGCTGGCTTGCTTTAGGATAGGTGGAACCTTGTAAATCTTACGAAAGCATCGCTATGCTCCAAACGATGCCCAAAATCAACATTATACGCGAGGATGGAGCTGTGTGTGCTCTTACCTTCAAAAGGTCCACCATTATCAGCAAACCATGGTTTTTGCAGCCTGGTATGCGCAAGACTTCCTGGTTTCCTGCCCATTGATGCGTCTGCGCTCCCGCTGGGTTTACAGGTAGTTGACATCACTGCCCAGTCACCATCCGCTTCTTGATGGCCGCTGTTGGGGTGTTGCTGATGTTTTTGGTGAAAAGTCCTGGTCTAGATTATTTTATGGGCCAGGGGAGTGGTTGCACGCCTAGCTGTGGGTCCGGCTGCGTCAGCCACTTACGCCATCCCCTGCCTCCGGTCTTTTTGACTCTGTCTTGACACCGACTCCAGGTGGGGAGTGGGGAAGAGGGAGTGCGGCAGATGCTGCGCATATCCAACATCACCATAAGCTGGTTCACGCGCAAGTCCGCGTGCCTGCTGCCCCTAGCTGTTTAGCACACGGTAGACGTCATCGTAGTCGACGGCCGAACAGTCTTACGCTCTTAACTTTATCTTTCGTCAGCCATGCCGGCAGACGTTCTCGCCGACTAGTAAGATCATTATGGCCTGCTCCACAAAGGTTAGTAAAGAAGTAAATGCTCATAGAGGTGGTCTCAGTTGGTAGTCTAACATTACCTTCCCCGCGTAAGACGGGGTTGGTCGAAAACATAACTTGAATTTTGCTGGCGAAATGGTCCGTGAAACGGCTTGGTTAAGGCGCCTTCTCATGAGTCCATTTTGCAGCGTCCTTTTGCTGAGCGATCGGAAAAAACCCACAACACTGACTGCCGAAAAGTAAACGCTACTTCTGAAAGTCCCTATTTAAGGGGAGGCTGCGCATGAACTCCTTAAAAAAACGTCTTGGTCAGCCTGTCTGCCGATCCCTCCGAGTAGTAAAGGTTAAAATACTATTCTCTACCAGCTCTATTCCATGCGGATATGGTAAAGATAGGTCGGAAGCCTATATAACATCAATGCGCATCGCCTCCTACACTCGCTCCTATGGAACAGATGATACTAGTTGCACGAGTCGGCGCCTATCCTAGAGGATGTGAGAACAACTCCCGATATGGTAGCGAAAAGACGAAACTAGAAGCATAAACAGCGTCTTTCGCGCGAAAGTTGTTGATCCCGTGTTTTTTCTGGAATCCAGCGAAGCTTTTCTCATGATTTATAATGTCCTATCATGTGACTCTAAATTACTGGGCCAGAGCCTGTTAGCAGCAGAAGCAGAAATGTCAGCCATGGTTACGAAAACCAGTCTTTTGCACACAGAATAACCACTTTCAGGCTCCGCAGCTACCGTGGTAAAAGGTTGACCAACGCTGCATCTCTTCACGTTCTTCCACCCTCACTATGTCGTTGGCATTGGCAGCTTTAACTTCTCCCCTTCCTACGCACTTGTACATTCCCACATCCCGTCATCGTTTTAAGACAAAATGTAGCCGATTTCTCTAGTGACTGACATGTTTTTGATACAGTGCCATTTCCATATAAATGTGTTGAACTGATAAGAATTTATCGAAAGCGAACACAAGCTCGCAAACTTGTCCCCTAAATACTGTCATTGGAATTTCCGCCTCTCTATAAGGGAGATCCATAATTTCTAGACTGACGAAGGCCAAGGCGATGCAAAAATATAAATAAAAGGTTGATTCAGAGGTTACGGTTTACAAATGAAAATATGACAGACGTTTAAACAAATGGTTGACAGGGACAAGATTAGAAATCCTGAGGATTTGACTAGGCAAGGGAGACAGCCAAACGCCGTCAAATAAGATAAGAAATTAATGCAACCGCTGGAACAAAAGCTTTTTTCTCCTGAAGTTTCAGATTCTCATTTGAACTCATCGGCGAGTATCTTAATCAAGCATTGCAGGTAAATGTATATGGAGTACGTGACCCATCTCATGAAATCTGATGACGAAAACTGATGAAAGAATTTCTGGACGACCTTAACGTTGAGCACTTTGATCGGTCATCAACTTCGTTCAGTAAAATATCCTTTTTATGTGCAGAAATTGTGTTTACTTAATTATATAAAGTAAAATATCGGTACATTTTAGCGAAAATGGGCGTTGGAATATGTTGGTGCAATTTCTTATACTAATACATGTCCTAGACTCCGGCTACGCATCTGAGCGAATTTTTCATTCAAAGGATAGTAATTTACCAGCGAGTGTTTTAATGAACAGATTTAGCCGAGCTTGAAAATTTATTTTATGTCCGATGTCAACCGTGCTGGTCAATCTGGTAACACAAAGGTTATTTTAAAAAAAACAGAGGTTTGATCAATTTCCTAAGGTCAAATAAACAGATCTGTGCGATTCGGTGCTCTAAATTGACGTAATAACACAGATAGTGATTACGCCGTTTAAATAGGATGAAACTGTTTTGCCGTTTGGAAAATGCTACCTGATGTCACATAAATGGCTACCACAGAATGGTAATTTCCAGCTTTAAACATATGCAACACTACTTGTCGTGTAGTTTAGCTTCTGTGCATACTTTTTTTCAGAAATGGAACGAGCAAAACAATAAAAATTTCATCGAAATATCAATGTTTATATGGACGCATTGCATTGCATTCATGATCAATGAACGGAGCCTCAAAGCAAGCGAATTAGTATAAATGGCCTCAATGTATAGAGTAAGGCATTTTCTTACGCTAACGGTAGAAAAAAATTAGTTTTGTTTAGGATCGCGAGATAAACGACTAAATGGGTCAGATTTTTACTTGGCCTCACCGTGCAAAAATGCAAAGTACACAGAGATCCGTAAACGGAGTGCAGTAATAAAGCACTTCTTGAAGAAGTAGCTTATTAAGGAAAGTTTTCTTATTGATCGAAGGCATATTCGTTGCTAATTTTCGTTTTGGACAGTCATATTTCACGCAAACGAAGTTTGATGTTTGGATCAGTTATCATATGTGACCCAAACGACCATCTTCGTGAAAAGGAGAGTCCGAGCAATTCTTACTTTGAGAAAAGCCCTCAACAATAGTATTATTTTAAAGTTCTCAACATACAGGTAATTAAGAACCTGTCTTTATGGACGATCGCTTGAAAACACTGAATATCGTGAAGTATTCAGCAATATTTCGAGGCCGCTCTGAAACTCGACGTAATCCAAAACGAAGGAAAAGCGTTAATTAATTTAACGAAATAAAAGTTCTCCTTAGAAACAGAAAATGGTATGTTTACAATCAGGCCTGCCAGTTCTATTTAAATTTACTAGGCACCAAACGACCGTATAGCATGTGACCTTACAAATATTTCGTTTCTACGCAGATCCCACCGGTGGAATCAAGCAAAATCCAGCTTCTAAGGTTGAACGCCATCTCATTCACTTTTAGGGAGTCAAAAATAACACGAATCACTGGAAAACTGTTTTGGAATCAACACTTTGAATGTTGGCAGTTGACAAATCGTAACGTATGAAACCACACGAATTATTTAACGATATTTAGATGCAACCTTCACTACAACAAAGTACTAGATGTTATTTTACATCTAATTTCATATTTACTATAGTTTTAATGTAAGAATGTATTCTATACATTTTAAAACGAAGTTAACTAAATGAGAGGAACTTCTGACGTTTTTGGCATATTGCGCTTTTCAAAATAAATTGGCACTAATAAACAACGCACCGCTGACATAAATATTTAATTTATGTTTTAAATACTTTTAAAGTTGAACGTAATTAGGAAATAAATTACATCATGAATTAGTGTCCATTTTCAAGTGATTGAAAATCATTGGCAAATTTCGCCAAATTTCATGAGTTAGGAGGCAAAATGTACAAATGTCTACATCAGTATGTAAGACTGCAGTTTGTTACCGGAAAAACACTACCTAAGATTATATACATTACGATAGTGGCACAATAATAGCTTCCAATCCCTGATACGTCCTGGTTCGACGCGCTGAAAACAGGGGTATTCTGCGGGAGCCGAGCATCTTCCCGCACACGACACAGTCATTTCACTAATGTGGCCTGTATAGTGGCAGGTAACAGTTCATCGGTTAGCGTCTGAGAGTTTGACAGCAGATTCCCGCACTGACTCGAAATACAAATTATCACTTGCTGCAAAACCTGACGTTAAATAAGTCAGAAAGATTGTTAAAACTAACTTAATCATTCCAGGATAACTGATGATCTAACGCAAAAAATCTCATTTGGGGATCTGTGTGAGAATACGCGCAAAAGCACAGCCATAATTGCAGCAGTCAAATTCTGTGCAAGCTATGCATGTGCAAGTGTTGTGAGGGCACTTGTTACCCCGATGATTGTACTTCAATCAATTTAACTTCCAATCACATAATATATTTTCTGATCGAAAAGCGCCTGCAAACTAGAGATCGAGATTCAAATATAAAAACTAATCAATCTAACTGCTTTGAATTCTTTGGCGATTGATTCGTAAACAGCTGACGTACAACACCAGTCAGGCAAGCCATATACTTGAATGTATCATATTTTGTCCGGCTTCATCTTCAGCGATCCTGTTTAACACGTGAACCTAAAAACTAGCACTGTATCCCATGAGCCCAAAACTGTGGTATGTCCCATTAGACAAAACACTGCAGGTAGAGTTTTTAAATCGTGTCTAAGTCAGCATTGAGGTATCGAAAAGCAACATGCATGCCAGACCGTGGCCTACACCTCGATAAATTTTTTTAAACTGGTTCAGTTCAGTTCAGTTTATTGAGGGAAATGTAGGTCTTCACCTTTGAACTCCCTACTTGTTTACAAGCAACTGCAAAATCTCAAAAACTCGAAAAGGTATCATAAAGGAACAAAAAATCGCAAAAGCGTCAGGTCTGTACAGACAAACAAACTGTCTCGAATTTTAGTGGTACGAGCAGTTGTAGAGCTGTCGTTTCGAGTGCAGCGAAATAAATAATATACCCAGTGACAAAATTGGCATATGTGCATGTCCGTAAGGGTAGGCGATGGGTTGGCACAATAATACATTCAATTTAAAATGTTACTGAAATATAACAAGTAGTATTATAATTACTGAATTTCTCGAGGTTACAGAGATCGGGGTGGTAGTTTAGTGGACACTGCTACACAAATCCAGCTTCCTCTTAAAGACCTCGACGGAAGCAGACATAACCACATCCACAGGCAGGGCATTCCAGGCTTCTAGCACTCTGTTGGAAACGAAGAACTTTCGTGTGTCCAGTCTGGCCCCTGTCACACGTAGTTTGAATGGATGGCCTCGTAGATTTGTGGTGGTTGCTAACTAGAAGAAGTCCCCCGGTACGAGCCTGCAGTCCTGACCGCGTATGATACGGAAGACTTGTATCAGGTCACCCCGTAACTGCCTGTAACTCAAGGGAAAAAGATCAAGGTTAGCTAACCGCGTTGCATATGGTAGTGAACCCTGTCCTGCCACAAGTTTCGTTGCACGCCTTTGAACCCTTTCAAGGAAGCTGAGGTCCTTCGCGGTCCAGGGTTTCCAAGCTTGGATAGCAAATTCTAGTTGCGGACGCACAAAAGTTCGAAAGACTTTAGCGAAGCAGTCTTCATCAAAGGCAGAGAAAGCCCGCTTGACAAGGTAGAGGACTGACATTGCAGACTTGGCTATCTTCGTGCAGTGCAGCGAGGGTTTGAGCGAGGTCGTAATCCATACTCCCAAGTCCTTCTGCGAGTCCACTTCTTGCAGTGGTATACCATTTAGGCAGTAGGCCATATGGTTCGGAGAGCGAGCTCTGCCGACTCGTAGAATATTGCACTTTTTCTCGTTGAACGGCAGAAGCCAGGCCTTTGACCACTGTTGGAGTCGGTTTAGGTTCGCCTTCAGATGCTCTTCGTCATCTGCAGTTCGAATGACGCTCCAGAGCTTACTGTCATCCGCAAACATGGCGACACCACAGTCCATTTCACTCACGCAATCGTTGACGTAAATGATGAACAAAGTAGGACCAAGAACTGAGCCTTGGGGAACACCGCTTTCAACAGCAACCTCCGTCGACTTCTGGCCACCGACATGGACAGTTTGAAAACGGTCTAATAGGAAGCTTTGAATCCATTTTAAGAGGTTACAGCTAACGCCTGTTCGGCTCAGTTTGTGCAGGAGTCGCTGATGTGGGACACTATCAAATGCCTTTTTAAAGTCGATATAGACAGCATGCAGCGCATTGCCTTCATCAACTGACCGAGTCCAACGTTACAAACAGTTGAGCAAGTTAGTCCCGCAAGACCTGCCACTACGAAACCCATGCTGCGCATCAGATAATAGATTATGCTGCTCTAGGAAGCGCAGCAGCTCTCGCTTGATTATTTTCTCCCTGAGTTTGCAGCAGATGGAGATGAGGCTAATTGGCCTATAATTGTTTGCAGAGGCCTTGCTGCCTCCTTTATGCAGTGGTGTGATCCGCGCAGATTTCCAGTCGGCGGGCAAGCAGCCAGCTTCAAACGAGGCTTGGAAAAACATGGACAATGGTTTGGCTAGTTCGGCAGCGAGCTCCTTCAGTAACTTAGGCGGTATGTCGTCTGGACCTGGTGACTTCGGCTCATTTAGCGTAATTAGCTCTTTGCGAACCGTCGCTTCATCAAAAGATACAGACTCAATTTTTGGACCCTCATCGAATTCGTAGTCGGGAGGAGTAAATGCACTTTCACTAGTAAAGATGGATTTGAAAAATTGTGAAAAGTGCTCAGCTTTTTCTCCATCCTCACTAATCTCTACGTCTCCGCTTGTCTTCAGGAGGGGGACTGGATCTCTGTTTCGTGTGCTGCTTCTTATGTAGCTGTAGAAGAATTTTGGATTTTCCATAGCACGATTCAATAGGTCTTTTTCAAAATTTTGCCGTGTCCTGAAAGTCAGCCGCTTGACTAAGTTCCTCTGTATTTTGTATGCGTTTATGGATACAGGAGTCCCCTCAGTAAGAGATTTCTGCCACAATCCCCGTTTTTTATTTATTTCCTTTTTTAACGCCTGGGTCAGCCAACGGGGTCGATTGTTTAGCCCCTTCCGTGAACGCGGGCAGTGGTTTGTCAGGGGAACATGCAATAATCCACTGAACCATTTCCAATCCTCCTCTATATTTCCGGAAAACGCTGATTCCCAGTTCGTTTTGGTGATTTCGGCTTTCATTTGATCGAAGTCCCCACGCCAAATATTTCTTCGAATTTTGGTGGGCTGTTCGGGCACGGAAAAGATTGAATAGTCCCATTGAAGTACAACGTGATCGCTTCGACCTAAGGGAGGCAGACATTGTACCTCATCTATGCTGTCCATCGATTTCGTGAGCACCAGGTCCAAGCAGTTTGACTGCTGCCCCTCACGGACCCTCGTGGGAAATAGGACGTGCTGTGTGAGAACTGACCTGAGTGCCATGTCCAAGAAGCGTCGGTCGAAAGCTAGTTCTGGGCCGCGCGCGTATAGTGAACTCCAATCGATGAGCGGTGCATTGAAGTCGCTCATGATTAGGACGTCAGGCCGGAGAGCAAATCGTCCTAGCTCCTCTAACAGACGAGCGTCAGCCTCGGGGTCACTCCTCGGTGGTCGATAGACGGTCAGAACTTCAAGGCTATGTGATCCTGGTACCCTTATAGTGTGCCAGATAGTCTCGGCGCTGCATGCAAACTGTTCTGTTTTTTCTGACACAAGTTGGTCGTGTTTAACGTAGGTGACGACTCCTCCTCCCTGACGCTCTCTCCTGTGTCTTCGAAACAACTGAAATCCTGGTAGCATTAATTCGCGGTCATCCACGTTTTCAGACAGCCAGGGTTCTGTCAAAGAGACAATGTCAGGGGAAAGGTCACAGATGTGGATCTTCAGTTCGTCTAATTTGGGCAATATACTCTGCACGTTGGTGTAAAAAAATGTAAGTTTCAGAGTTTTGGGGTGTTTGATTATAATGCCGCCTGTGATCCCATTTAAGGAAGCTAATGTGCCCTCATCCGGATCGGTTCGGTCCAACGGATTAGGGGAGGGCGTTGCACTATCTGGTTGTGTTTTGATCACAATATCCGTCTCGCCATTCTGCAACCTTGTTCTCAGTTCTAGAACTAATTGTCAACGTTTTATTCTCTCTGCCGGTGTGTAGTCCGGCTGAAAAAAAACGCCGCGGTTGGTGTCTTTGATTCGGAATCGTCGTGAGAGAATAAGTCCTACTTGTTCTTGGTTGGCTAACACAATTTTCAGTGGTCGGGGACGTGAGTGCTCTGATATGTCGATTGAGCGCTTTCCAAGCCTAAAGGCCTTGAGAACCGAAACTTCCTCATTGGGGCGCAGAAGTTCGTTGAGTAGGCATTGGGAGAGTTGCAGGTCTGCCGAGACCCGCTCTTTGGAGGCACTGGCTGTGGATTCGGGAAGTCCCTGAATAATCAGACATTGTCCTCTGACCGGCGACACTCGAGAACACAGCGGTTTCGTGCTCCGACATAGGCAATATGTGGTTGCCATGATCTGTCGAGGATATAAGCTGCAGTCGATTAAGATCCTCATTCGTCTCTGTTTTGTTTGCATTTTCATCAAAGTCGGAAGTTTTTTGCGATAGGTTGAGGGTTTTAGGACCCATGTCATTTCCCGTGATGGGCAACACGGACGCCGACGTCCCTGGTTCCAGTTCTTCGGAGGCAATCCTCGGGATCTGCTCTTCATGCCCTTCGACCTTTTTGCTTCAGGATTTCTTTTTTTCCTCTGGTTTTTTATCGTTGATTTGCTGGTTGTTGTCGTCTTGTATTTTATGTGTTTGTGCTGGGTGTGCCGTGACATCTATAGAGGGTGTTGATGGCGTATATGTTGTGCGACGTCCTTTGGCCCTACTTCTAGTTATTCGTCCAACAGGTACATTCGCATCGTTAAGTGTGTCTAGTTAACAATGTAGAATAATTTTCATCTTTTCCATCTCTTCCTCAAGGTGGTTGATTTTGCCGGCCAATATCTCGCATCCACTGGAAAATCGATCGGTATGTGGCACGCATTTACTATCAAGTAAACTTTGCGACATCGCTCGCCGGTAAGTCACCAACTAGCAGTGTGGGAGACTGCAGCTACTATTTGGAGAAACTTAAAGTTCATTTATTCATATATACATATCTAAACCTACTAGGGTTATAAAATCCCATCGTTGCCTATTCCTCAAATAAAACTTTAAGAACAAGGTTATATATACTACTTTCTAATCAAAAAAGGGTGTGCAAGCAACTTTATGCCAATTTTTGCTGCAGCTGGAGGGAAAAAATGAAATCAAATTTTCTCGCTTGCACAACATATTATGGTGACAAGACATTTCATCTACGCTCGGCCAGTTGCTGAACAACATTGCTACAACTGTACGCGGACAATTAGCACAAAACGATTAATCATATTTCTAGATCGATTATAAGCAAAAAGCCTAAGCGCATGGTTTGCCGATTTTGTATTGATTGATGACGCGTCTGCGAAATACTCCACAGACTGGTGAGTGACAAACTGGCAGTGTGGGAGTCTGCAGCTAGTAAGCAAGGAAACTGAAAGTACATTTTTTTCATATAGCGGCAACGCAGTAGTCATCTGTAGCCCTGCACTTTTGTTAAGCACACCACGTCAGCATGTCATTTGAACTAACTCATTCTCACCATCATTTTGCAAAATATCATTAATCGTATTCTATCCATTTCTCGCTAAAGAATAAAACCAAATCTAGTACAAAGATTGCATTTACGTTTCGCAAAATGCATTATCGTAACACCCCCAAGAACTTTATTCAGGCAGTAGCAAAGCCGATGGAAGTTTTAAGGAGATGTTTGACATTTCAGTGGCATTTCCCTGCGGCATCTTGAATGGCTACACCTATGTTTGCGGAGAAACTCTTAATCTTTTAATGGTGCGCAAACTCAGTAATTTGTGAAAGTTTATTCTCCCCTTTCAGGCATTTCGCATACAGCTTCTCAGCTGTCCGCCTTATGTCACGATTTATTTCTACAGTTTAGGAACAAATATTGAAAACTGCAAAGCACACAAAAATTGAATAAATGGTAACAAATAAGCTATTCTCATGCTCTAAACTTTAAGGATCGAACTGTAAGTGCAGTACAGTAGGACGTCTAAATATTAAAATAGCTAGATTATTTGCAATGATTGATTCGCGGACATATCAAGAAAATTTAATTATATTTTCAGTTTCAGTAAGGCTCTGTAAGCGTTAGTTAATATATGTTTTTCTGGCGAATAGCTCAATTGTTTTTAAAGATGAAGGCACGATCGCTGCGACAAGAGCTATACATTAAACAGCCTGCAGTCATTGTGGCCCTTATAACTACCTTAACCGTACGTTAAATTACATGCCACTATGCGCTGTTATAATAAAACACACAGTTTCTATGTTATCCTTAACGTGTTTTCACGCAGAAATCCGGGGATTCGAACGCCTGCCTGAAAATTAAAGCATTTGCTGGTAAATATACGTATGTCAACTAGTCATATCGAATCCGTTTTCATCTAAGAAGGATTAGTTAAATGGAATTATTGTACATTATACCGAGCATTATAATCACTAAACACTTCAGTCATGCTGCATGCTGATCTTGGTATGCAGTTTTATTTGGCCGACTGGAAAAAATGCGTTTGGTAAATAATACTACTTAGTTAATGTGGATTTGTTCCCATTGATTCAAGCCACTATCGCAACTTAAGATAAAGCCTATAGAAAAGATTTAAAATCATTCTTTCTTGTACTCATTTTGTAGTACAACACGTCGTTTTAGAATTGTATGCTTAGAATGATGTCTATCACTCATTTCTAAGAAAGTCTGTAATCATAAAATTTGGAAGATCACTAGATGCCTATTGATAAAGGACTGTATCTCCCCGTTTACTAACGTTCATCATAAAGTATGCTGCATCGTCCATATTAACTATCGAATTTGACAAGTCATGCATGGCACACTTTTGGCTGTATACAGGGATTAGCTATTAGTCGTCGTACTTATACAGTAGATGTGCTAACTCATGAAATGTCAACCAAAATTTCGAAATGCGTTCTCGTTTCGAAAAGATAAAGTAAGTAGTGTTGTAAAACTAATCGTGATGCAACATAAATCTATAATGATCCAGTTACCTCAGGGTGTCAGCTTTCGAAAGAACTTATTTTCGGCTGCATGCTAGATCTATACTCTGCAAAAAATGACTACTTAAGTAGCATGCAATTTTCTCATTGATTTTCGATGCCCTTGAAAATTCAATTGTATTTCATGGAAAACATGCATAAAAATATTCATTCTTTTACTTATTCGGTAGAAAATCACGTCTTTTTCCAATTTCGTACTCAAAAGAAGAGTATAATTCCGTTTTAAAAAAGTTTCTAATTGTGAGATTTTTTAATACCGTTAAATAGCCGTTCATGAAACGTCGTGTATCTGCATTTACGAATGTGGCTTGCAAAGTTAACAATATTGCTCAAATCCACTGCTTAATTTTATGAACCTTATAGGGTCTCCTCTTAACAACGTAGAGAAATGCATGGTTTTCCGTACACGGAAAATATACAGCTTGTAGTTTTGAAACCCTGAATGCAAGTGTAAAAGCAGGTCGGGTTCAAAATTATTCGGGAATTAGAAAAGTTTTTTAAAACCGAATTATACTCCTCTTTTGAGTATGAAATTGGAAGAAGACGTGATTTTCTACCGAATAAGTAAAAGAATTAATAGTTTAATGCATGTTTTCCATGAAATATAATTGAATTTCCGAGGGCATCAAAAATCAATGAGAAAATTACATACTACTTAAGTAGTCATTTTTTGCAGAGTATAGATCTTGCATGCAGCCGAAAGGAAATTCTTTCGAAAGCCGACACCCTGAGGTAACTGGATCATTATAGATTTGTGCTGCATCATGATTAGTTTTACAACACTACTTAATTTATCTTTTCGAAACGAGAACGCATTTCGAAATTTTGGTTGACATTTCATGAGTTAGCACATCTACTGTAACTATGAACACATTAGAAAAGACTTTTCAGTTGATCAGCAGTAGGTGCCTTGCGAGCCTTCGTTGTAGACGTCCGATCGTCTTAACAGGTAAGCTTTCTGTTTTGCGCAGTATGTAAATATACCTTAATCCGCTCTCTAAATAAAAATGAACCTGAGATAACGCAATATTTAGTAAGACAGCTCAACAAGGGATTTTTTAACAAACTGACAGTCCTTGGACGTCGCCAAAAAGCATGGGTAATAAACTGCAGATAAATGGTTGGCGTCCACATAGCGAGTATAAGGTAATAAACAACATTAGCATTTCCAAGTGTTGTCCGATCCGTCGTCCTGAAGACTTTGCCGGAGCCGTCTTTGGAAGGGCCGTTTTCGACGGTCGACTTGAGTCAGGCTTTTCACCAGACTCCAGCACCAGTGAAAACGTGCGCAGATCGGCCTCATCAGTGCCTTTTGATTTGCTCAAATTTATTTGCATGGCCTTTGATCTCCAAAACGACCCACGTGCAGTGCATGACCGATCTCATGAAATTTTGGCCGAAAAACCGAACGTGTAAAAGAAAGCTTATTTTTATGCAAGACCGTCGAAAATCCATGGGAAAAATGCATGCTGCACAAGTAGTCTTTTTCACTGAGTTCGGTTTCTGCAGTAGGTCCAAAGGAGTGCATCCAAGAGCCGACGCACGGGCGAGTCTGAAATGTAAGAGAATTATGTCGCAAGCTAATTAGTATCACAACCCCACCTAATTAATTCTTCCTAATCGAAAACGCGTTTCGGAATTTCGGCCAACATTTCATGAGATCGGTCACGCAATATACAAGGAAACTTAAAGTTCTTCTTTTTCATATAACGGCAAGGCGGTGGTCATCTGTAGCACTGCACTTTTATTTAGCACACCACGTCAGCATGTCATTTGAACTAACTCATTCTCACCATCATTTTGCAAAATATCATTAATCGTTTTCTATCCATTTCTCGCTAAAGAATAAAACCAAATCTAGTACAAAGATTGCATTTATGTTTCGCAAAATGCATTATCGTAAAACCTCCAAGAACTTTATTCAGGCAGTAACAAAGCCGATGGAAGTTTTAAGGAGATGTTTCACATTTCAGTGGCATTTCCCAGCGGCATCTTGAATGGCTACACCTATGTTTGCGCAGAAACTCTTAATCTTTTAATGATGCGCAAACTCAGTAATTACTGCAAGCGTATTCTCTCCTTTTCAGGCATTTTAGATTACTGATGCCAGCAGTCAGCTTTGTGTTATCAAAATGACGATGATGATATATTATCTAAAGGGAGCCGAAATGGGTGTCAGTTTTCACCCACAACGAATTTGGCGAAATAGGTAAATTTACAAAGCAAACTCTACTAAAATATACAGTACCTGTGCTAACTCATGAAATGTCACGAATTAACACAGGTTAACGCCTTTAACGCAAAATCGGTAAACACTACGGCTCCCAAAGTCTGATAGCGGAAAATAAACGATGTGCCAAAGAAATAAAGCAAAGTTTGGTTAAGAAAATATTATTTACTGAGATAAAAATAAATAATTTTCGACAAAAGTCGCATTTTCGAGAAACGCCTATATTACAACCAAGTTAATAAAGGCTACGTATGAGGACGTATAAAGGAGGAGGGCGCATAAAAGGTCAAAAATAATTAAGGACAGAAACAGATACAAAAAATTAGTACTTTGTAGATTGTCCATTCGAATTAATAACAGCAGAAAGTCTGTCCGACATAGACATGACAAGGTTATCTATGGTGGATTGTAAAATGTAATTATTGAGTATGAAATCCAATTTTTCCTGCATTGAAAGAGTCTTCTTAGCTTTGTGCCAATTTCTTTTGACTATTCCAAAAAGATTTTCGATAGGATTCAAATCGGAACTGTTGGCCGGGATGAAAATGGATTGGAGGCCAATTGCGGAGAGCGTGGTTGTTGTCTAAAACTTTAGATTATGTTTGCAAGCGGCATCAAATTCGTACCTCTTTAGAGCGGTGGACAGGTGCATTGTCCTGCAAAATTACAGTATCCATTCGGCGCCGACTTATGCCGTTGTAGCCGAAAGCATCCTTGACAATTGCAATGAACACCTTGCTGTTGATGGTGTCGGATGTTGACCGCCAGACAGGCCGCTCACCGAATTTAATCGTCATCCAAACCATCATCCGCCGACAGTTCTTGAATGTTGCCGTCGGTGTAGTATGTTCTCTTGGGAAGTTCTTTCCACATATGACAGTTTGGAGCGACTTCGTAGGCTTGTCTAAAAATAGAACCTCATCGCAGAAGAAAATGCTCTTCCAAAATGAAGATCTGTATTCAATATAATTCTTAGCAAATAAAAGCCGTTCTCTAATTAGTTTTCTACTTAAATATGGCTTAATCATGGCCTTCCGCCGCTGCAGTTCAAATTCCTTCATCCTTTTTCTAATGATGTTCATAGAAAACATCGGCAGATGTTCCCGCTGAATGGCCTCAATGGGCATGTAATGAAACTTTTTTAATGTACGACGAATAAAATCGTCGTCTTGCTTACTTGTGGACCGTTTTGGTCCCCCTATCTTATTTCTAGTTTTATCATTAATAATGCGCCACAGAGTGACCTTGCTAATATTGAAAATATTAGCTAACGACTCACGCGGGATTCCTTCCGCCGCTAATTTTCGAATGCGCTGGAAGTCAACTTCGGATAAGTATTGTTTAGACATAGTTATCGTTTGGCGTGGCAGAGCAAAGTGACGGCATGTCGCGCGAACTCAATATATATTCGTTTACGACACGCATTTTCAGTCTGGTAAAACAATCACACTGATAAACTTTTTTATTTCGGTATTTTGAAACATAAAACTTTACGGATTTGTAAAATAGAATTTTTAGATAAAGAATCGCACGTTATTTCCTGAACACAATAAGAAATAATTTATCTGCATTTCCCTGATTTTGTTGATATTGAAATTTAATTTTTTCTTTTTGTTCGAAAGTTTATTAAAAAATTTCGTCCTTTTATTAATCTTCTTAAACAGATTAATAAGGTTACACAAAGAATTTCCATCCGAAAGCTTTAATAGCGTAGGAAACTGCTTGAATATCAGGACTCCTCCGATTTCGCCTTAATCCGGCCCGTTTTCTATTTAATATACAGATCCGTATCAAACTTTCCTTCAGAAAACGGTCTTTTCGTCCTTATTTCAACCAAATAAACACAAATAACGACACCAAAAATACACTACATTGTCCACTATAATTTTGACCTCGGCATTTCATGAGTTAGCACAGGTACTGTAGATAGTAGCATCGTATACGCAAATCATTGTTCGGACAGAGAATTAAGATGCTGTGGTATTGGGATGCATAGTTGTATGCTGATTCAGCTTGCGTTAAAAATCTTGACGAATGTGCGCCTATCAATATCTTGCCCATACAAGCGTGTATGTGTGTTTTTAGGAACTAGTTGATAGGAAGAAGAAGAAGAAGAAGGAGGAGGAGGAGGAGGAGGAAGAAGAAGAAGCGGATGATGATGATGATGTTGTTGTTGTTGATGATGATGGTGGTGGTGGTGGTGGTGATGATGATGATGATGATGATGATGATGATGATGATGATGATGATGATGATGATGATGATGATGATGATGATGATGATGATGATGATGATGCGATTATTCAATTAAGGGATTTATCCGCCTGAGGTTTCAGATTCTAATTTGAACTTATCAGAGAGTGTTTGATGCAAGCATTGCACGAAAACGTATATACAAATGTCTAAATTACTAGGCGAGACTGAAGTTTTTTACTGACAAAAAACTACACAAGATTACGTACAATCCGATAGAGGCACAATAACAACGAAAAATTTCGGATATGTCCGTATTCGACACGCGGAATACAGTAGGCTACTGTGGTTGCCGAGCATCTTCCCACACATGACACAGGCATTTTATGAATGTGGCCTGTATGATGGCAGTTAACAGTGCATCGGATAGCGTCTGAGAGTTCGACAGCAGATTCCCGTACTGACTCGAAATTCAAAGTATCACTTGCTGCAAAACCTGACGTTAAATAAATCATAACAATTGATAAACCCAACTAAATCATCCCAGGAAAACTGACGATCTAACATAACAAAAATTTATTTTCGAAACTGTGTGACAATACGAACAAAAACACAGCCGTATTTGCAGCAGTCAAATTCCGTATAAGCTATGAACGTGTTCCGAAAGCAGTACTTACCACGACGACTGTACTTCAATCATAACTTCCCACCGCATAATATATTTTCTGATCGAAAAGCGCCTGCAAAATAAACATCGAGATTCGAATATAAAAACAAATCAAGCTAACTAATTTGAATTCTTTGAACTCTGATTCGTAGACAGTAAACGTACGTCACCAGTCGCGCAAGCCATAAACCTGAATCTATGACATTTTGCCCGGATGTATCTTCGAGGATCCGACTTCACACGTAAAGCAAACACTCTAGCACTGTGACCCAATTGTCCAAAACCGAAATCTGTCCCATTAGCCAAAAGAAGTGCAGGTAGAGGTTTTTATCAGTAAAAAGAAGAGCAGGGGCTAGCATACGTAGTTTTCGATAAATTCTCGTCGGGCCAGTACAGTTATTTAGGAACGGGGTAGAAGTAAAACATGTCAGCGATAAGAGAAATCAAGAAAAGTTCTCCTTAAAACATAGGCGGTGTGTGGGAATGTGGGGTAGGGGAAGAGGGTGGGGAGTAATAGTAGTCATTGTCCGGGGCGTGTTGCGAGCGGAAGTGAGCGGAGGGAGTTGCGTCGTTAGTCGACCTTCGACCAGTGTAGGCTCGGAACCTGAACGTGGTTCTTCTGTGCGCATAAGATTGGCTTTCGTAACCTAGTGGCGGCCGCTTTCACAGTCGCTAGGAGGCCCTGGCCTAGTAGCTTAAGGTAGCTCTTTGTGGTCCACACGATGTCCGGAATCGACAACATGAGCGAGAATGGCGCTGCTTATACTCCTCGTTTCGCCTTTTCCCAGCAAAGCCGGGAGGTGTTCGCGTGTTTTCTTGGGTAAGCGCCGACTCGTGCGACCAATATAACCTGCTCCACGGGAACAAGTTGAATAATATATGCACATTGAGGTGGTCTGCGGTGGTAACTTATCCTCACCTTCTCCGCGTAAAGTAGGTTTATTGGTGAGTGTCTTTGTCAGCATTGAGGTAGTGAAAACCAACTTTTTTTCTGCATTCGAATTTCCGTGATCTACATTTTCTGAACGCTAGAATTTAAGGCGTTAATGTAAACTATGGAAACATACCCTTAACAACATTCGATGTTCAAAGTGCACTGGGGTCAAAAATTAGTTTCTGAAAATAGTAAATGAAACTCGAGAAATGCCTGAGCTGTTCTTCGCATGCACACCGGATATCGTACCCACATTTTCGCAGGCCGCAAATGTGCGTCTGCAGCGACTGCAGCTACTATACAAGGGAACTTAAAGTTCATTTTTTCATATAACGGCAGGGCGGTGGTCATCTGTAGCACTGCACTTTTATTTAGCACACCACGCCAGCAAGGCATTTGATCTTACTCATTCTCACCATCATTTTGCAAAATATCATTAATTGTATTTTATCAATTTCTCGCTAAACAACAAAACCAAATCTGGTACCAATATCACTTTCCCGTCTTTTGGATCGAAACTGCTGTCTACGCGGTATAAAGACGGGCATCGCCTTTCCAGCTCTTTATCTCGTAAGAATAAACTTGCATTTCCTGATTCTGTTAATGTTACTTATGAATTAGACAGCACCCTTCGGTCTTTTTGACTATGTTTTAACTCCGGATTTATGTCAGGGAGAAGGAGAGAGGACGGAGCGCGCAGAGCAATTTACTACCACCATAATCAAATTTACGCACAGGTCACCATATCTACTCTCAGCCTGCTGTTAGCACACGGTGGGCATCGTCACAACCGACGGCCGAACCGTCACCTAAATCGTATGACTCTACCTCTAAGAGGCATGTTTGTAGACGAAGTCAAAATGCGGCAAATGACTAAAAGCATTAATAATGGGCGGGTGCAGTGGGAAGGACGTAATTATCTGCATGAATGGTCAAACAGAAGGACGAAAGGACAGATCTCATGAATGCTTCCTAGACGAATGGTCTTTAGCGAATGAGGTTGAAAATACTTATCCCAGTTTCACCTTTTTGCCGTCTGCGAGGCCTGCCTCTCTGTGCTTTTTATTGGCAAAACTCAAGAGGTGATCTATTCCTCGTTGAAATGTCTTCCATAGGCAAATGAAAGGAGCTGCTTGGGATAGTCTACGAGGCCTTTGTTGTTCGTAGAATTATTATGAAATTTAGGCGGGTTCGCACAGCTAAAACATGTTATAGGCCGCGGAAAATATACGGCAGAGTGGCAAAACAATTGTCAATATCCTTTAAATCTTTTTGGTAAAAAGCACACTCGGTGTGTTTAATCTCCTTCCTCAAGATGTCAGGGAGGAGATTAGTTAAAATGTCCCTACTAGGAGTTGGCGTCTAGACCGTGGCCCACACCTTGACAACTTTTTTCAAACTGGTTGCAACGAAGAACTTGAGGGAAATTCTTAAACGGCTGGATGTCCCATCTTACTCATAGTCGCTATGAGGTGTCTGCTTCTAAATCAGAAATCCTGAAAATTTACTAATTCCCGACAAAAGGGAGGCATCGAAACACATGGTCAATAGAAATATGCCTGCAATATACTACAAAATCATACGAGAATTCTGTGGAACGTTAAGTCAGCGCTTCGCTTATTTGGAAACATATTATTATGAATTATTTGCGAAATCTACTCACTGTATCCCTGTTAAACTTCCCATGCTTGGCGCACTATACTCCACATCAAGTATTCCACTGGAAATATTATAGTGATAGGTTGGTTCTGACCACATACTGCGTGCTCTGTTTTGATCTAGTCTTAAAACGCACAACCTCGTGCGCTGAAACATTCTAAAGCAGGGTAACTCATTTTGAAGATGAGTTTTCCCAAATAATGTTTAGTTCAAATAGCGGAATTTTACACAGACAGTTAGAATTGGTTTAGTCGTACACACACTGTAAGAGGGCCATTTTAACAGGTTTGTGTTTGCGAGCCCATTACTGTTGCTTTCCTGTAAGGCAGCACTTCCAGCTATGTGAAAAGTAAGAAGACTAGTTTAAATGCCATGTGACTTTTGTAGGAATGATCTTCCAATCGAAGTTACAGCGAAATATAAAGAAATTAAGAAGCACCGAAAAACTCGAAACCATGAGCTCGTTCAAATCCAGGGCATATTTTCAGGTATTAGCACGTCTAGTCCTACGATGAGTGTGTTTCACTGCATCAATTTTATCGTCATAACTACAAACATATTTGGTGAAATAGTCACAGAAGCCATTTTAGTTTTTTTATAAAATCAGTCTATTTGGCTAACCTATCCCATAAAGAAATTGAAGTCAAATTACTACATCAAAGTCCACTAACGTATGTTTCTGATTATTCATTGATATGGCCACCATTTTAATGTTCGCGACAGAGAAAGGCAGTAATTAGCAACAACGTACCTGAATACACTAATCCCCCTCCTTCATGAATAACTTCCATTGACTGTTTCTAAATTTTGTTGTTTTAGCGCAGTTCAGTGCCCCTTTTGTTTAAGCCTGGAGTTGAGTAATCAAAAATGAGGGTTTTTCGAATTGGAGTTTCTTAGTGTTTGCACGTTCAACATAGCAGAGGTTGAAAATATATAGAGGATTACAGTTTTTAAAACACAACCTGCCATTCGAATTGTATCTAAATTACTTATGAGTTTTTCAATCTCGGATTTTGCGAGCTTTGTACTGTAACATCAAGGAAATCCATGATAATAATATTGCACAACCACAATAATAATGACATGTTCTTATAATTACAAACTTCAGTGAAACTGAGAAATCGTCATTCTTCGTTTTTACTTTCGACATCGCAAGAGGTTTAAAGAGTGCATACCTTTAACATTGCGACCAAACATTTGCTTGCATCGAAAAGGACTAGCTAGAACTAACATATATGTCCTTCTAAAGGGGATGTGAGAATAAGATCGCCTGTCCACGTAATAAAAGGAGACGTGAGCATAATTCAAGAAACCCCAAATTTTCCTATATCCTAACTTCAACAATAACCCTAATATGAAACTAATCCGTTGTCATGTAAGGCGCAACAATTCATCATGAACGGAAAATCAGGAACTTTCATAGGTATGGGGTATCACAGCATTCAGTAAGCACTACAGCACCTGTGGATAAATGATCCGTGTCTGTTATTGCCTTTGATGATATATCCGAGCAGAAATCCGAAACGGTAGGTGGATAAAGCTCGTCTCATTATTCACGACAATCTGTAAGCAGGTGAAAGGGACACTAATGCTTTCGTCGATTTTAGGCACACCGATGGGGCGACCCTACAAGGGTTAGATTCGTTGGTTTCCAACACCACAGACCGAAGTTCTGGGCTTGGTATGCGAATCATACCTGCGTCGATGTCGGCCGGGATCAGTTGATAACATCGTAAGAACATCTCCACGCTGTTTTCCCGGACATACGATTTACGATTAAAGGAGAAGGAAACAACCAACTGGCCTTCCTGGATGTCATGGTATGCCGCAAAGGCTGTATTAATCTAAAGATTATGCATTTAAGAAAGCTACTTT